AAATCCGAACACCCAGTTTAAATGGTTTTATTTTAATAACATTTTGTATAAGTACTTAATGAAGCATAATAAGTAAATGATAAAAATTTCAAAATGATTGCACTGCTTTAAAGCCCTTTGACCTTTAATAATGTGTGGATGCACCCTGATGTGCTACGCATTCTCCAACGCGCATAGGCATGCTTCTGATCAGGTGGTCAATGTCCTCCTGTGGTATCTCATTCCAGGCAACCACCAACTCCTCTCGAAGTGCTTCTAGAGTCTGAGGAGGACGTTGCAAATTGAGCAATCTCCTACCCATCATATCCCACACGTGCTCAATTGGGGATAAGTTGGGAGATCTTGGTGGCCATGGTAACAATGTGACATCATTATGTTGAAAGAAGTCTATTGTGACTCTTGCCACATGTTGTCGGGCATCATCTTGTTGGAAAGTTGGATCTGCCAGGGTGTCAAAATACGGTAAAAGATGGGGTTCTAGAACTTCGTGGATATAACGCTGCGCGTTCATGTTACCTCTGATGCAGATTAAAGGTGACCTGGAACCATAAGCTATAGCACCCCAAACCATGACTCCAACAGTGTGATGAACATGTCTTTCAACAAAAAACTGTGGATTTCTCCTTTCACCACGTCGCCTTCTAACCCTGGCACGACCATCGTGCATGCCTAAACAAAATCGAGACTCGTCACTAAAGACAATACTGTTCCATTCCTGATCCCAGAGTGACCGTTGTCTGCACCACTCAAGGCGATTAAGTCGGTGTTCTCGAGTTAAAGGGAGGACCCAGTGTGGCCGATATGAAAACAAGCCAAAACTTCTCATTCGTCGGTAAACACTTCGCATGCCAATAGGTCTTCCGTGTTCTGCAAACCATTCATTTGCAATGGACCTGGTAGTGGAGAAACGGTCCCTTAAGGCCAATAATCTTAGGCGGCGATCTTCACGGTCTGTTGTTCCACGGCGGCGTCCAGTGCCCCTTGCTCTTTGCGTACGGCCTTCTCGAAGCCATGCCTGACAACACCTAACCACAGTGTCTACACTTCTTTGTACTCTAACTGCAATTGCCCGAAAAGAAAGTCCAGCTTCCCGAAGTCCCACTATACGGCCGCTATCAAACTCACTAAGTTGACGAAATCGTACAGGTCTCCGTACTCTAGGCATCGTAACCGATCGTAAAGGATGTCAAGAACCAAAATCCGCCAACGTTGATTCTTTACTGCGGCTGAAATATTCATTTTTAGAGCGTTAGTGAATTAAAAAAAAGCAGGTTAAAAACCGGAATGTCCAACTGATAAGGCTGAAAATTGTTTCACTTATTTACGGTAATATAAATACATTCACCAACTTTTATTAAAATAAAACCATTTAAACTGGGTGTTCGGATTTATATGTCACTTAGTATATATATATATATATGTCTATTAGAGGTAATTAATTGATAACAATTCCAGAAAAACTCAGTTGTAATAACATAAAAACTTTATAATTTGTTGTGCCTCTACCTCTACTTCTAATCAGATGATCAATTTCTTCTTGAGGTATCTCATCCCAGGTTCGTCGAAGTGCCACTGGAGTCTAAGCAACATTAGATAAAAGATCGAGATATGTAGGGACTAAAGCAACAAATCATCTTGATTGTCTTCAAAACAGACTACCATAATTCTAGCTATATGTGGTCGAGCATTGAATTGTTGGAAAAGAGGGTTGGTGAGCCACGGTGTATAAAACAAAACATGTGGCTCCCTCACCTCCTACATGTAGCACACATCGGGCTTGTCGCCTCTGATGACCTACTTCTGTAAGCGATACCATAATACAATAATTCCAGTGTGGTGAACATGGGCTTCCTTAGAAAATTGAGAACCTCGTATTTCACCTCGTCGCCTTCTCACTCTTGCACGGTCATCATGCATCCCCAAACAAAAATTGAATCCACCACTTAAGACAATGTTATTCAATTCGACGTCACAGTTCAGCCCTCCTCTGCACCAAGGCAGTCGATCACTTAGGTGCCTAGGAGTGAGGGGTATGAGCTGTTGATCCGGCGATAATCAATAATCGTTATCTTAAGCTTTCCAAACTCCCCAAACCATGGGTCCACCATTGCCCTTGTGGACGAGATGCGGTCCCATAGAGGCAAAAGCCTTTTCTTGCACGGCGTACATGATTCCATGTCCGACAACAAACCACCACAGTATTTACACGTATGTGCACCCTGAGGCTATTTCTCTAAATAACTAATAAGACTCACATAAGCTCACTATTAGCTCCCTATCAGACTCGCTAAATTATTGAAATTTTTTTCATCTTCCCACTCTAGGCATAATGAACATATTAAAGTAGCTCTTCATAATGATCATATCAATTTTATACCAACTTTGACTAAGCTTTTTGGCACTATGTTACTTGGTACATTTTTTTTGTGGTTTTATAAAGATTGGTCGTTGGTTAACGCTATTTTCTAAAAAAAAATTGGAAAAAATTAATGCAAAAGGCAGAAAACAGGTAATTACAATGTGACGAAAACGTCCACTTAGTTTTATAATTACAATCTTCTTCAGTAAAGCATAGTCATTATTAATCAATTGCAAGAGCATATACAATGATAAAAATACATAAACTGTACTTGTAATAATATTGTAAAGGCCCTTACAGAAGCATTAACAATAGAGTGACGCTATAGGAAACGTGTATTTGCTTGATATTTTCCGTGCAACATCATTGTAAAGTCACTTACAATGTGCCGAAATACTTTTGCGGGCATTGCTAAAAACTGTAAAGGCAAATACAATGTTTTAATAATAACAACTTGGTTGTGGTAGATGCCTAACGTACAATATCCTGCTTAAGCTGTAGTGGAATTGTATCGAACCTTACCATAATCTTACTGCTGTACCGTGACAGTATACAGTTACAATGATTTTTAAAATACTTTTTTCTCATCTTTTATACAAAAAAAAAGTTTAAATTCTTATACTAGCTGAAAATATTAAGTAAACTCTATCTAAAACAATTAAAAACTGAAAATCGACCAAATGTCAGTCTACAATGTTCTTAGATGCATGTATCGATATGCAATTGTAGCCACAAAAGACACGGTATCACAAAAACCATTTTATAGATATGGTTGAAAATCTGGTCGTTCTTTCTTCTAACCTAAACGAAGATCTACTTAGAAAATCTCTTAAATAAATTGAAATGAATTGAGTTATCGTGGAATTTTTTCCACAGGGAACGACGGTTGTTTACACTAACTAATCGCCGCTTTAGACAAACTTTTAATCATATAAAAAACTGATTTCGTTGAAATATTCATCATGATGTTTATAGATGACTAAATGTAATCCTTTGAATTGCTTGTAGGAAAATCCATGTACATCCAAGGTGAGAATCCGCTATCAGTTAACCTAAAAGAAGTATGAAATTTGATAAGATTCATTGTTTTGTTGTGTTGATCGTCACACTGACATGAATGTATGTGGTATTATATACATGCTTTTAGGTAACCTTTATTACGACCTGAGTCGCTTTCCAGTGCCTCATATGCACCTGAACTACTCGTTTTAGAAATCCCCTGCCCCCTCATACACTAGCTTTTTATTCGGTGTTATACGCTCGGAAATAGTGGGGATAAATGACAATGTGTAGAACAGGCTTTTAGGTTATGTTTTTTCACTGCTTTTGTTTTTTTTTCATTAAACTCACATAAAACCGATCCCAGATAATAGAGGATGGTAAAAAACTGATAATGTAAGACCCAGAGTTACAACATACGTTTGAGATGTTCCTGAATAATGAAGATCATTCGAGAGCACAAGAAGGCGAGTTCATAAACATGCAGACATCTAACGTATTGGCCCATCATTCTAAAAGCATCATCAGGCATCGATTGGAATCTGACAATACTTCTGAAAACAAAGCAAAATTGTTAGTTTGGCAGAGTGATCAAAAACTGTCAACGTCAAAGTAAACCATCAAGAAATTGGTTAGTTTTTATCGCTGCGTTACTGTGCACATTCGCTAGAGCAAGCTGGGTGTACACAACTCTCAATACAAAAGCACTGGAAAGCGGCCCAGTGCTACCTCATCTGCCAACCTAAAATGACCATATACTGTCATTGTCAAAGCTGAGGCCATGCTAACTTGTACTATAATTTGCGGGACTCTGACTGAAACTTTAGAACTGGATATTTTAGTCGAGTAGTAAAGGTAATGAGGCGACAAGCTTGGAGTCTAGGCCACCTTTGGCATTTTTTGCTGGTTGTCGGGCCCGTACTGCATACATTATGTGATAATTACAACCAAAGGTTGCGACAGGTAGTGTCCATTGAAAATCAATAGCTTCAACATTGGGGCAACTAAATTCGGCATCTGTCACAGAGGAGAGCTTCCACAGCGACAACCTTTGTCGTTTCTTTCACGAGAATGTAAGGTTGCTCGTGATAACGGACTGTATAGTTTTTCTTTTCCAAGTTACATCCGGCGAAACTATTTCTTTCAACAACGGCTTTAGTCGATGGAAACAAAAACTTCACACCGGTTGGCAGATCCAAGAAAGCAGAAACGCAATATCACAGCGCTGGAAGTTATATGGGTTTTTGCTATCCGGATTCTCGTATCTCGCAACAGGTCTGTGTGGTAGGGTTAACGTCAACAGCCACCTATGTTTTACAGTAAATTTGGCGTCTGTCAGGTAGGAAGCTGTTTTTGTTGGGATTTCCAATTTTCTACGCTTTCCATCAATTACCTTTCAACTGTAAACAGAAAATTGTACATGCTCTGATATACAGTGGATGTACAAATCCCCACATCCGTAACGCAACTTGTGCCGGTATTTATAGTCGACACTCGTATAGACCCTTTAGATCCCCTTAGCCAAGGAAGCCTCAAGGGTCCATCAACATTCGTTTTTATAAACGTAACTCAAGCTCCCCTCGGCCGAGTAGGCCTTTACATTTGGCAACATCGAAACGTGACGAAACATAACCCATAATCTTGCCCAATACAAATAAACAAACATCCATAAAACAATAAACCAGTAGAAAATTCCAAAAGTTTTAGCCCTCTGCAAACCAGATATTTATCTTTGGCATTCATATTCTGATTTATATTCCCAGAGTGATCCAGATTTTCAGTGTATTTTCAAAATTCCTGATAGGAACTTCCTATTGCCGCTATTACTTTATTTATTAATAAAATGAATAATACAAACAAGAGTAAGTACAAAAATGTATATTTAGTTTAAAGTAATTACTATATAATCTATTCCATAGATTCATGCGAGCGAAAAGTTTTTTCCGAAAGGGACAAATTGTTGCTTATATCATTAGTTGATAGTTATAAGCACATACTAGAAAATAAGAAAACAGATGCCACCAATGTCGAAAAGAAAAATGGGGCCTGGAAGGAAATTACAGATCTATATAATGCAAATGATGTTTGTCCTAGAACTGATAAGCAATTGAGAAAATTGCGGGAGAATTTGAAACAAAGGTATATAGGAAATACATAATTTAAGTCTTTTTCTAATTTATTACCAAATGTGGTTTTGTTTCAGAACTAGGAAAATTGATTCAGAAATGAGAAAAGGTTTAATTCAAACTGGAGGTGGACCACCAGTGAAAAGTGAAGATAATAATCCAATAATTTTTTTTTTTATGCTCCAACTACCACGAAGGCCTAAGGCCTAAGCACCCATTGGGTACCGTGGGGCTATAGGGGGATACATGGGAAAGGGGGAACGCCACACGGACTCTGGCGAGGGAACACGTGTGCATGCGGCATGCACACATTCTGGCTCCGCCTACGAGATCCGCCGGGTGGTACCTCCGCGTTCGACAGTCAGAGACCATCTACCACCTGCGGACAATCACAACATCCATAGCCAAGAGAAAAATTTCTCCTGGGACGGGACTCGAACCCGCACAGCGCACGGCGACTGATCAGGAGACCGGAGAGTCTACTACTGCGGCCACCGCTGCTGCCTAAATGAACGAGTTCGGTCAGTTGTCCCTACAATTAGTTACGTAATTGAAAATCAGTGGGATAGCAATTCTGTGATCCTTTCCGACAGTGAGTATAATATGGTACCAATGGCACACTTCACATTTACCTATTTTTGTATTACAATGTCTAGATTCTCAACTTCAATCTGAACGCAACGCATCTCAAGCATTTATTGAAGTTACTGATGCACAGTCAAATATGGGCGACATAGACCAAGATAAGCCTGAAATAAAAAAAAAGCAAGATACCACTAAAGCAAAAAAATCAATGGTAAACGGTGTGTATATTATCTATTATAATTATTATTGTCAAATTAAAATATTCATATATTTTTTAGGACAACCGAATGGGAATAACACATCTGAAAATTTTATAACTCCACAGAAGAAAAGAAAAAGACCATCTGTATGTGGGACCATTCAACAAGAACATCCCTAATTGAACAGGAAGCTCTTCTAAGAATACAGAAATCGAAAAGATCCATGGAGCACGATGAACAACTCCATTTGATTAAAAAACAGGCAGCCGAGGCAGAAAAATTATATTGGGAAACTAAATTAAAAAAATTGAATCAATAAAGTAGTTAATTACATATTGTGTTTGTGCTAAAAGTTATTTAAAGCAAAGAAACAGCGTGTTACAAATTTTGTTGTAAAATAGATAAACCAGATGAAATTTTCAATTTTTATTTATTAAAAATGAGTTACTATAAAAGTTCTTCTAAAGGCTAATCCATCACCTGGTCGATCACTAACAATAATTATATTATCAACCCAATCACCATCTTCGTTAAGCTCATTTTCTTCAAAGACTTCACTCAAGTTTCTAGCAATGTTGTGTAAAATTGCTGTTGCACATATAATAGCGATCGAAGTTTCTTCTTTGGTTTGAAGTGTTCTTCTCAAGCATGGGAATCTTCTTTTCCAGACACCAAAAACGCGTTCAACTATATTTCTAGTTCTTATATGCGCTCGATTGTAATTTTCTTCTGACTCTGTTACAGGATTTATAACAGGAGTTAACAAATACCTTCGGCATGCATAACCATTGTCACCCAATAGAATTCCTAAAATGAGTAGTTACGTTTAAATATAAATGCTATAGAATACTAATTACATACCTTGTACTTCATTTCTTTCAAATTTTACTCGTAGACCACTTTGTTCAAATATAACATTGTCATGTGTAGAACCTGGATGTCTTGCAACAAGATTTAAAATCTCTAAATTTGGTCCACATGCTACCTAAAAATTATAATGCACTAATTTTATTATCAAAAGGCAAGCAGAATGAATAATCAAAAGTAATGAGTTACGTATTAGATTATTACTTATAAAATATTCTTACTTGAACATTAATGGAAAACTGCCCTTTCCTGTTTCTGAATATTTCTCCTATATTGCCACCAGGATTCTTTATTAATATATGTGTTCGATCCACACAAGCCGCCACATTAGGGAAATTTGCCATTCGAAAAAAGTGTCTGATATTATTTGGCTGGGCAATTAAATTATTTGGAAATTTCACAATATTCCTCAAGTGTTGGGCAAGAGCAAATGAAACCCTCCTTATAATTAAAGAGGCAGACGCTTGCAAAATACCTCGAAGGTCTGCAGCAACTTCCTACAAAACATACTTTATTACTATATTTAATACTGGAAATGTCATTTGATGTATTGGAAATATACCTGATAATTTCCTGTAGCATAATACTGAGAGTTGTAAAATCGGACGTATTGGTAAACCACGGTTTGAATTCTTTTCAAGGCCTCATTGACAAGTGGCAAAATTTGATCTCTCACTATAAATTTTGAGAATCTATACCGTCGTCTGAATTCAACATCTTCATAGAATTCAAAAGGATTCTGCGCATCTCTTATGTAACGTTTGGTAATGCTTCCTGCTGAACCTGCTTCTTCCGCATATTCTACCCATCCGATAAAATCAAGAAAATTGTCCATATCCATTATTTTTCTAAACACAAAATGTCAAAGACATCAAAATAGGTACCAAATATTAAACTGAAGGAGCCGTCAAGGTTCCTTTGATGCTCCCTGAAGTTTGATAGAAACTTAAGGGTCCCTCAAGACAGACAAGCCAACTATAAAAGTGAAATCTCGACTTAAGGGCGCCTCACAATTGAGTAAGCCTCAAGTGAGCTTAATCAATACGGGCATTGGACAAGTCAGCTTACTTCCTGCATTTTCAAAGCTGTTGGAACTTGAAATAAAGGTACACATATCCGAGTATATTTCCAGTAATGAAATTATTCCATCAATGCATTAAGGATTCAGGGAAAACTACACAGCAACGGCTCTAGCCAATATAACTCAAGGAAATGCTATTTGTTTGGTTCTGCTCGATCACACAAAACCTTTTGATATGATGGACCGTAAAATGTGGCTACTTACGATATCTTACTATGGTTTTACTGACGCTGCAATCAATTTGATGCGCTGTTATTTGTCAAATAGAAATCAAAAGGTCGTATCAGCTTCGAAAATGTCGGAATCAACTGCTGTGAAGTGTTGTGTTCCATATTAAGTCCTTTACGTATCTCTTTTTACATATCAGAGTTTCATCAATATGTCCATAATTATTGTACAATCCATCACTATGTTGACGATTTAGTTTTCAACACGAAGATTTTTAGATGGATGAGGCATTAGTCAACGCAGTTTTAGCACGGCTAGACATCTCATGCTCACAGCTTAAAAACTAATCCATCTAGATCTTAAGTTGCGGTTTTCTGCTCAAAAAACAAAAGAACATCTACCGAAACGGAAATTACTCGTAAAGTCCATGATAATCTGCTTCCTATATTGACTGTGTGTAAAAACTTGGGACTCCGTTTTGACACAGAACTAAAATACGTAAAGCATGTGAATTCATTATGCAGTGCATCATACTACATTTTGAAGGAGTTTTATCTGGATAGGCAAATAATGTCTACTTTACTAATACTGAAACTATGTGAAACATTATGTTAAAAATCAATTATTTCGACACTATATATGGCCCTGATATATCATACAGTGAACAAAGAAAATTACAGCGTATTCAGAATTTGAGCGTCAGATTTTCTTGCAGAATACGAAAGTTTGATATTTCTCAGAAATTTAAGAAGGAATCCTGCAGATTAAAGCCATGCAAAAACTCCAGTTATTGACACTCGAACATAAGGTGTTAGCAACCAAAACTGACCACGGTATTTGCATAAATAAGTTAAATTATATAATGATCTGCCTATTACGTTCCAAATTGCACTCTATTTAATTTTAAAAAGAGAGCTAATTTAAAACTGCACGCCGAGGTTTGATGATGAACACAAAATGCTTGAAATATGGACTATTCTTGTAATAGTTTATATTTTTTGGGGCTGTTAATCAATTAGTTGTTTTTGAGTAATATGCATACATCTCTATCAGTTTTAGTTCTACTATATTATATTTTTTGTGTTAAAGGTTGAAAAACCCCACTTTTAACGACACTTCGCCTTTTTGTACTTTTGTATAAAATAAAGCCCATTTATCATTATTTTTGTTATTATCACTATTATTTTTATTATTATACATATACGGTTTATCCTTACCGCTACGTTTATTTAGACAAGTCTTTCTAGATCAGCAAATTTGGACAAGTTAAGAGGAGCAAGTCTACGATTTGGTTGTTTCCAAAATCTGATAGTCTTTAGTCAAGATGGAAGTTTATACTACAAGTCGACCAGGCTCAAGCCGCTAGTTTGACAGTAGTTGATATTTCACATGAAATTCGTATGTTTCTATGAATACGTTTAAAAGTTCGCGGGTTACAAACAGGTTGGACTCAAGGCGATTCTCAACTTCGCTAAAAGGGCGAGGCTTGTGATTTAAGTATTGTAGAGGTGCATAAGGGCCCGCTTAAGCGGCCTATACACTGGCTCCTTATGGTGGCCGGGATGCCTCTAAAATTCAAGATTCATTCATTCAACAGGTTGTCCTAATGATAAACTCATTCATTGTCTTTGCTTCGTCGGTGTATACTGTCACATGCCAAAATCACGTAACCTTTTTTTCACTATTATGATCCCTTACCAGTAATTTGAATTTCTCCTCATTAATGATAGGGTGCAGATTCCTATGCCAAACACTTTTTAATGATTTTCTTTTGGCAAATTTCATAGTTGATTGATTGTATAATTTCACACAGACTCTTTCTCAGCGAGTCAGTATTGTGTTTAAATCTTTTCGACATTTTATAGTATTATTAACGACTATCTTCGAAAAATTTTCTCATAAAATTTTCTTGGTCCCTCATAGAGAGAGTAGGTTCTGCCACTTGGCAACCAGTGTGACACCTTGTGATTTCCTTACGTACTAGCCGTATATGAATTTTTCTTTCCTACCGAGATACCTACTTTTCCTATCAAGATACCTTCTTCCTTATTAAGATACATTGTTTTAAAAATGTCGCATATAGATACGTCCAGCGCCATTTTTTTTTGCTTTCCGTTGTGGTTTTGGTTGTGCGTGAGTCTTTTCGCTGGTAAGATTTTCAGATTCTGGGATTTTGGCCCCCGAAGCACCAGCTTATGAAGTAGTACCTTCTTATTTTGTATCTTACATTTGGTTGTGTTGGTCTGGGTGCTACCCTGTCCATTTTCTAATGGGATTTTAACTTTTACCGTTAACTTTTTGTTTGTATACCGTCAGACCACGTCCATTTATATATGTCCTGAAGCAGTTTGTTCAATATCTGTTTCCTTTTAGTGAAAAGGCCTTGCGGGGAACCACCGTTCACACTCGTCCAGCTTTGTTTTGTAGCTGCCTTGTAGCTGTTTGTCATCCGATTTTGTTGGAAGCCATTCCTTTTCCTTGATAAAAAACCTTGATGTGAACATGTAAAATATCATTTCAATTGGGTATTTTGTGGATATTGATATTATTTTTTCTGCTAACTGAAATTCTTAGGGTGTTCTTATTTTGTTTGGCATTTTACGGATTCAAATATAGGGCAGTGCCTACATGTCACCGTCTTTTGGGCTTACTACATCACATAGATAATGATTTTGAATTTTGAGCTGCCATAACTTATTTGAGAGCAAGGGATAACCTTCTGGGGGTACCTTAGTAAATTTTTATATTTTCTTACCTTTGCTTTACTTTCCTTGTGAAAGAGAATTTACGTGGATTTTTCTTCAAGTTTTGAGTGTTTTAAATGTGTAGTTATGTCTCACATAGAGATAAGAGAGTAAATTATTAAGCAGTATTTCTCTCTGTAGGGTTTTTGTTTATACCGTAAATTTCTGAAAACGTGGCAAGCAGCCCTACCTTGTGACGTTCCTTACGTTACTGCCCACTGCTGGCCACTGGTTTTTGACCTAAGCGTTTGTGAGCTGAGGATATCTCGGCTGAGCCTAGAGTTCTAACTGGAAGAAGACCATTATCCAGATAAGTTTAGGCTTAGACATTAAAATATTTTTAAAGCTTATATTTGTAAAGTCTTATTAATTTAAGGAAAAGGAAAGAGGAATCACACCACCATTTCCTTTTGTTTATAAAAAAAGGCGTGAGAATACACCTAATTG